CCCACGTTTATGTTTCTATGCTGTTCGTTGGAGTTGCTGCGCCGTTTAGGAACAATAAGGGGAAAGGAACGGCGATCAGCCCGCATTTCCCTATATTCCTCACCTTGGTCCCTAGATACTTTTCAACCCACTCTGTACCTTTGTGTGTATTCAAGAATTGCACAAGTGAAGAGTGATAGAATCCCAGTGCCATTCAAGAACTGTGAAATGACCCCTTGGAATGATGTCAATAATTCTCCACAACATCCACAACAATCCACTTAAAAGTCCCTGCTGGCTCCCCTCCCAACTTCCTCATCGCCTTTCTACTCGCTGTATTATGCAGGAAAACATCCGAAAATGCCCAACCATGATCGTGGTGATCATCATCGCGCTTTCCCTTGGCTATCGCACCGATATCAGATCCAGTCCCAGATGTAAACACTCCGCCGTCGTCCCCCAATCCCAGTTTCATTACTTCCCTAGCAATCGCATTCGCCAATCCGCGTCTGCGGTGTCCTTCCTCCACATACAGACTACACAAACTCGCATCCACACTTAGGAAACACCACGCCACGGGAATTTCCTCCACGCCGCGGCCAGAGGAGCAGTTTGCCGTAGCGCCAGAACAAGAAGATATGATATTATCGATCTCACCATCGTAGTAGACTGCTACGCTAGGCATCTGCTGTAAGAGCTCCTTTGACCGCGGGATATCAAGGCAACTTAGAACCAGGTCCAAATGTCCCTTCTGGACTCCAACGCGACCGTTGAGATCGTGCAATCGGTATCCTGGGGGAAGACCCTTATCGTCACTAGTACCATTAGTACCCGACGCACCCGCAGGCTTTTCAGGCAATGAATTGTATGTTGACCGGTGGAAAAGGTATTTCATGCATACCCCTGCATCAAGGGAGAGGATGCAGATTCTTGGTAAATGTGGCGGTATCTTCTCAGGCGCCGCAATCGCAGCTAGTAATAGATCGTAGATTCCTGTGTGCACGCTGCCAATTTTGAATGATGTTGGTATATGAGGCGGGACCCTTTTCGAAGATTTTCCCGGATTTGGAGATGGGTTAGGGGGCTGGTTAGCCTCGTTGCTCTGCGATCCCAGATACGAGATATACGGCGGGATAATGTGGGTTCGAATGTACAAAAATAGAGAAAGCAGTTGAGCCAGCAGTTCTGCTGCAACGTTAGGTTCGAGAACGAGTTCGCTGAGTTGATCCAGACCCGAGAGCTGCTCCGCTGTTGCAGACCGTTCTTGGATTGATGGCAAGGAGGCCTCAGCCTCTACGCTTGAATATAGCCATATTTGAGTATCGTTGCCGACATAGACATCCACATATGCCGCGAGCCACAGCGAGGGTGCCTTCGCACCCTCGGATTCTGGTGTTGAGGGAAATGTTGCAAGAATTTGTGCTGTCTTGGAGGGGTAGCTGAGGGAGTGCTGGATGCGTCTGAAGAGGGGCCCGGAATGGGGAAAATGAGTAGAGAGAAGAGGGAGCAGAGAACTCTGCGGTTTGTCGTGTTTATGAATAGCTGGGATGGACATCGTACCTGATAGCTATTACGGTTGAATTTATCTATAAATACAACCCTTTCTCATGACCCTACATCTACCATCTCTGAAGAAAGAGGAAAAGTTATCCTTTAAAAGAATCCGGGACTTGATTACGGAGTAATTTTAGCTCTGATAGCGAAATTCTCGACATCCCTACCCTTCCATCGGCGCAGTACGCTGGACTCTGCGTAAGCTGCGAGGGTGCCTAATTTTCTGCATTTCAACTTCGCTTTCAACCCATGTTAGTGGAGGGCATTTTTCCTCTATGAGGGGTTGTTAGCACACTGGGCATAGGCTCTGATGAAAAAAGCCGACACATTACGGCTATGTTCTCTCCTGGTTGAAGAACATTTAAACCCTTTGAAATACTGCAATGGACGGTAGGTGCCGAGAGTCTTCCCGAACTTCAAATGTGAGGGTGCTGCTCTTTGTTAAAAACAAGCACAACACGGGTGTCAAAAGGGCCCAGGACACTGGTGTTGATGAGCATGCAGACTGTTAATTTGATTGGCCATGGCGCGATTCCAAAAAAGTTCAATGATCTTTATGGTCTCTCAGTATGTTTGTGCATTTGGATACAGGAGAGCCAATGCAGGTCGTTGTCGGAAAACAAAGCTTCCACAGCAATTCTCCACATGGATTTCCTAAGAAAAAGCCCATTCTCATGCTCCACCTCCCTATCACAGATATTGAAAAACTCGCATTGAAATGGATCCGTGATAGCCCTTCGTACAATAAGATACCAGCCCTCTCAAATAAAACAATCACCTCAAAGGCCAGACTGTCACAGCACCCATACCTCAAGCTTATCCCTCAGCATTCTCACCTATCTCCTCGAGCAAATCAAAAATCTTATACCGCAATCGATGCTCAGCCTCTTCTACAACCCAGCAACTCAGCGCGATCATGTCCTCTGTGAGGTTTCCCACATGAGGCCCATCAGGGTCGAGATCCTTCTCATCCTTTGCGCGACTTCGCGGGTTGCTGGCACGCGCATCCACTCTTGCCGTAAAAGCTGCCACTGAAGATCCGCTGGCACCATGGTCGTCAGCAATTTGCATTGCATAAGCCTCTTCATAGATGCAAAGGGCCCCAATAAATGATTTCTTCTTATTCGGAGGCTGTCCGGTTTTGATTGAGCGGTGGTAGCGCGCTGAACGACGCTTTTCAAATGTTGCAATGAGGGCATGGTCGGAGGTACGGATGAGCTGATAGCAAACAATTAACATACTCATACAACAGCAATATACCATGGGCAAAAATGGCAGCACAACATCGCTGCACTCCCTCTCATCGGATCCCGTGGATACTAACCTTCAAGCAATGCGACCAACCCTTTACCCCTTGCATGAAACCCGTGGCGAATTTCCGTGTACCGGACCATCTATACCTCGTCCCTTCGACCTCAAATTCGACCTTCATCCTCTAGCGGCTCCTTTGGCTGTTTTGATCCTCGACAAAAGAACTTGCGCACTTTCTCCTTACGTTCATAACTCTTTACTTTTTTGCGTCGGTCCTCATTTTGAAGTACTTCGCTGACCCCGTCGCCCAGCCAAACTTTGAAGGAGGTCCACATGGCGGTACGCTTTGCTCGTCCGATAGTGGTCGTCTCAGTGGTATATTTAGGGTTATCCCCCCGGTAAAATACCGGGACCCATTGGTGGGCGTGTTTGTGAGGGAATTTGTTGGTTACAAAGTACCGTGCAGGTTCTGTATCCGAAGGGGCAATTAGAGCTTTGCGACCAGGGTAGAGGCGAGTGTATAGATGGAGAGATTTAGCTGGAACTTCGCTAGACGTGGTCTGAGAATTGCTCTTCAAGTGCCTTTTTGTAGGTCTAACCGGATACATCTTGAGAATTGCTGCTGTGCGACAGGCCGTAGTTGTTCATAGATGTTGGAAAATGAAGCCATTTTTTATCAAAAGAGGTCTGCAAGGAATTGCCCGAAGCCCTGCCATCACGATTTATAAACACTGGGCCAACGATGTAGGAGCTCATGTTGCTTCATGACGTTGTTTCATTGGCTAATGACCATGATGCAATACGAGCTCCTCTCCTGGACAACTAGAAGTTAAAACGAGTAGCATGCGCATTTTATAGTGACACGGGCCGTTTAATTATAGCCTGAAGCGCCTCGAGGGCAGTGTTTGGTGCAGATCATCGATGTTAAAAAAAAAGGCATTATGACGCATTGAGGGCTCTCGCTGTGACACAATCAGATTGCAACTCTATCGCATCCCCTTCGTATATAATCCTCTCTTTTCGAACATTTGAGAAAAGTTTAACTTTTAAACACTGAACCCGCCAGGTGATTGGTTGTGCAGCCCTAGGCTGAATTCGCTGGAAGCAACAAGGCTACGAAAAAAAAAAAAAAAAAAAAAAAAAAAAAAAAAAAAAAAAAAAAATCAAACATCCCGTCTTTATGCTGTAGATATCTGTGTTGCAGCCCTGGTGAGTTGGAACTTCGCTGGTTAACACAGGGGATCGGAAACCCATATCTTCAAGCAAGGCTCGAAGTGCTCGGCACAGGCAATTAGGGGTCCGTGAGTATCTGCAGGGGGTTTTGCTTTGTACCCCTAGTTACTGGCTGTGATCAACGTGCTGTTCAAAGTTGCTTGCTGTCTTCGAATTTCCTTGCTGCATCTTAGTTTAACACCTGACATGCCCGCGTGCTAAGTTGATGCGCAGTGGATGTATGTGTGTTAAGGTTCAATTATTGATGAAGGAATATGTTGACTTGGTGACTTGACCGTGGCTGTACGATGGTAGACTCCGATTGCCAGTTTAGAAGTCTGCGAGCTGGTAACTCCCCATTCGAGACTCACTGGTCAGTTCATTGAACCCTTTGAGGGAATGGTTTGTGTCGGAATAGCATTAATTAAATCGTGCGACTACAATTCCGCGTTTGCATACATAAAGTATATAAATATTTTCTCGTCTATGATTTTTATTATAAGTTAGTCCCAATAAGACAGTAACATTTTTGGTATTGAAATCTTGTATTTGGAAACATACTATATCTGCGTGACAATACATTACATACAGAAATCCTGCCAAAACACATTTTGTTCATGCTTTGGCAACATCAATGATGTCGATAGTATTGCAACAGATGCAAAACTATGTCGCAGATCCTCCCTTACCTGCGCCATTCGGTCCGGTACGCGGCCAATTCGCTGATTAACTGCAACGGCAGGGGGAGTCTTTTGAAGAGCGCATACAGTAGGCGACTGAGCGGACGATTCTACGCTTCGGTCTCCGCAGCGGAGCTCCGCTTCGGACAACCACTTCATGAAACACATCCGCATATCCTAAAGGCTGGGGAATGTATGTGAGAGATATTGTATAATTTCGAGAGCTTCAAGGAGAGGCGAGGCTGACTTTGATGTATTCTTGTCTTCATAGTGACGCCAGGTATCACTGCTCTTGAATATGCCCACCGCCGGTCCACGCTTGCATCTAAGCTACCCAAGCACGCGATTGCTGTCGTTGCCGCTTCGGACATAAAATATAGATCGGGAAGCGTTTTCTACGAATACCACCAAGATCCCGATTTCTTCTATCTTACGGGTACTGAGAACTTTTCGACTACATGATCTGGCTGAGACTCTTGCTGATAGGGTAATCCAGGTTTTAACGAGCCCGGTGCGATAGCTATTATTGGTAAGTTTTCAAGTTGTATAAGTAATCTTTAGATTTGCTAATATATATTAGGAAATGATGGTTCTGAGAATGATCACATTTTTCACCTCTATGTTCGAGAGAAGGATCCAAAAATGGAGATATGGGAGGGGCCGCGGTCAGGAGTCCAGGCTGCGATTGACGTCTTTAATGCGGATATAGTAAATCATACAATGCACTTACTTTAATTGGAACGTGCTGACCTTCAATATTTTCCTATAGAGCGGCAGTATAGACAATATCAGCAGCTCTCCTCCTTCGATCCTTTCGGATGCTTCCAGAATTTATACCGACCTCAAGCTTCTGGACCCATCACGACCTTCATTATCCGGTTTCTTTTCCTCGCTCCAAGCAAAAAACGTGTCTTCACACAAACTGTGGGCATTGCGCCCAGTTCTCAACGAATTGCGTATCTTCAAAAGTGAGGGAGAGATACGAAATATGCGGATGGTGGGACAAGCCTCGGGTCGGGCTTTTACAGAGGCCATGAGAAGACAATTTACAAAGGAGAAGGATATCCATGCATTTTTGGAATACCAATTCAAGGCGAATGGCTGTGATGGCCTAGCTTTTATTCCTGTGATTGCTGGTGGCCAGGTAAGATTATTTCTTCCTGTATTTCGTCTATTACTTTTACGAGCTAATGATTATTTGCAGAATGCGTTAAGCATCCACTACGTTAGAAACGATGATGTGCTAAGGTATGGCGGTAATCTGGCCAAGTTAACTGAATGTGATGCTTATTATCTATTTGTTAGAAACGGAAACATGGTCCTTGTTGATGGTGGTGGGGTACGGACACCCTGTATCCTCTATGTGACGAGATTGCTGATTTACTGATTGCCATCCAGGAATATGGAGGCTACATAGCGGACATCACGCGCACCTGGCCCGTTAACGGCAAATTTTCTGAGCCACAAAAGGATTTGTATAATGCCATTCTAAGCGTACAGCGTACTTGCATATCGTTATGCCGCGAATCTGCTGGCCTTTCCCTTGACATGCTGCACCGCATTGCCGAAAATGGGCTGCGAGAACAACTCAAGGCACTTGGGTTTGACGTGTCTGGAGACGTGAGTTCTTCCTGACAAATCTACTCCGACCATTGCTAACTACCGCCACTGCGTAGGCTATGGCAACTTTGTTCCCTCACCATTTGGGGCATTATATTGGTTTGGATGTGCATGACTGCGTGGGATATCCAAGAACTTACGAACTCGCGGAGAGGCAATGTATAACAATTGAGCCGTAAGCATTTCACAAGGGTAATATCGCACGGATGGGGAACTAACAACTTGTAGTGGTATTTACGTCCCAGATGACGAACGGTGGCCGAAGCAATTCCGAGGAATCGGAATTCGAATTGAGGATAGTGTTTGTGTAGGTGAAGATAATCCCCTTATACTGACGACGGAAGCAGTGAAAGAGGTAAGAGCCGACGGTGGAATTTTCTTTTCTGTTACGTTATTTGCTAACTTGTGTGAAAGGTCGATGATATAGAAGCTCTGCGATAGGCACGAATGTGCGTTTTTAGCTTTTTTACGAGCTTATGGTCGTCTAATGTATGTACATGTACAATACAATGGATGTAAATGTTGTATTCCATGATCTATTGCGGTTTATTTTTCAGGCTTCCGGGCCGGTGTCGGTGATGGAAGGGTAGGCGGTTCGCAAAATTTTCCAATTCATACCCCGTAGTCTCATATGAGATTTAATGCAAGTCCAGACGTACTTTATCACTGTATTCTTGTCCGAACTGTTCGATATTCAGTATCCAATGCGTGGGACAAGGCGCTAGTAGGGTTAGGGTTGTGGCGGTCACGCCCCATCCGCAGGCGCGCTTCTATTGGTTGGCGACCAGCGCGATTTTGACGAGCAAAACAACCCTCCTTGGCCAAAGCCCGAATCTGCTCCAAACAATCAGTTTTCAACCCCAGCTGTATGAAAAGGGGAACTTTGACAGGAAAACAACGCCCAATTCTTCTGCAAGTCCCCCAGAAAAAATTCCCTTCTGTCAATTCTGTATTTCATTGCTGTTAATTGCCACTTATCTCGTTAATCTGCCCTTGATCATGACCAAGTCGTGAGGGATAGCCTGTGTTGATTCACGACGTGCGGTACCTCGCGTGCTCAACCTTGGAGCAAAGGATACCCCTCCTTCCCACCTTCTTTCTCTCACTCACAGGCGGGATATCATTTTATGTATACATGGCAACTGTATTTATACCTCCATCTCCTCAACCATCGATCGCGATGTCAAACCGCCGGACTCCCCTGGACAACGTCCCCAATGGCACCAACTCTCCGCATCGAGGTACTATTACCTCCGTGAAGCGAACACTCCCCGGTAACTGCCAGACAGATGTGTGTTTTATGCAGCCTCCGCCAAAGAAGCAGATGCTTGAGAAAAATGGAGCCGACCTGAATAACAAATCTCCACGAAAGCTGGCGGTGGCCAGTAGAGAAGGCAAGGTGTTTACGCGCAAGAATACCATTTCCCAACCTTCTGCATTCGAAAGGAAGCTTGTTGCAGCGAGGGATAGGGACAGGGCCAACAATTCTCGAGGAGCCAAATATGAAAGGGCTGGGGGAGAGACTTTGGATAGTATTCGTCAGTGGCAAAAGCACTATCGCAAGGCGTTTCCTCAGTTTGTATTTTACTTCGAAAGTATCCCTGAAGACGTCAGGAACAAGTGTTCAAGGCAGATCATGGCCCTTGGTGCTGTAAGTTACTCTCTCGTTCCTTTTCGTGTGTTGATTCGGTTCAAGCATATCAAAGATGGCTTCTGCTGGATGAGTATATTATGGTTGCTTACATTCTGTGTAGACGGAGGAGAAATTTTTTTCTAAGGTCGTTACACATGTAGTCACTGCCCGTCCAATTCCGCCCGCAATCGATTCCCCCAATCACACAGAGCCCTCTACTGGAGAAGCTCCATCGAACCAACAAAATGCGGACGGATCCATCCAAACTGTTGACCCGTCGCTTCTGGAGAAAAATTTCGAAACAACTCATCTCAATCATGGAATAGGGAAGCCCAGGAAAACACCCGACAAGCGCGTCGGACAAGAGGGCGACCCAAAACGGGATAATAAGGATATTTTATATAGGGCAAGGCAGATGAATATGAAGATATGGGCCCTGGAAAAATTACAGCGTGTGATATCTACGATGAACGATGGTGAAAATACTTCTACCCACGGCCATTACACGCGTAGCAATGGCACGGTATCCGGTGCTGGAAGGGGAAGGGCAGAAACCGATTTATCCCAGGTTCTCCGAAACGAACGTCTGAATGGACCTGTAGATCGAGACACTATTTTGGCACCAAAGGAAATTATTCCCTTCAAAGGTCCATTTATATATGTCCATGATTACGAAGAGAAGACACGACCAGTCATGATTCGCGAGTATCCCAAGGTCGCCAGAGGGCAGGATGGAGCATGGCCACAGTTTCGGAGCGCTGCGTTGGGTAAATGCCCATTTATCGATGAGCCGCCAGCCAAAAAAAAATCGGAGAAGCGAAAAGGTGCCGCTAATCAGACAAAAGATGAAAAGCCTGCTGCGAAGGAGAAATCTACGACTACGACGGAGATGAAGATGATGCAACCTCCAGAACGCTCTGTGGAGAAGCGAGCTTTGCAAGATGTACAGGGAGGCGTGAACCAAACAATTACACGACAAGAACCTACACCAGCTCCAAAACGGATTGAGACTCTTTTAATGCTGCCGGCAAAACCGGCCTCCCCTCGTAGCAAAGGATTTGAAACATTTCCTGGCGCGAAAGCTGCTCTCGCCACATATTTAGCCCGAGAGCCGGCAGCTTCTGGGGTCCCCCCCTAAGGACATCACTTCAGCAATCAGATCTCAGATGGTATCCTATGGTCAGGCAGCTGCCCCTGGAGCGAAGGCAGGAACAAGTAAGAGGTACACGGGTTAAAAAGGAAAGTTCTGGAGAAGGGAAACAGTACCCTATTGACGAATGGAATTGGGATCCCGTCTTCGCACAGAATGGCGGACATTGCTGGTGCTCTTAAAGCGTCTAAGGCTCCAGCGACAAGAGCAGCGAAGAGTAAGGCCACTGGCAACGTCAATCAGATCGACGAAGACGGCACCACTCAATCGGAAGATGAGATGGCTCAGAAGCTCCATAACCCCAGTAGGAAGAATACTAGCACGATACGATCGAGGCAGAAGAAGCGTGATCCGAAGCCAGGATACTGCGAAAATTGTCGTGACAAGTTCGAGGATTTTGAAGAGGTAAGCTACAGTGAAATGTCATCGCTGTGTGGTTACCGTTGCCAACTAACTAATGTAATCGCAAAGCACATAATGACGAGAAAGCATCGCAAGTTCGCATTGACCTCATCGAACTGGGTTGAACTAGATGCACTGCTTCACTCCCTCGAGCGCCCTCGCAAGCGGTACTTACCCCCGGATGAAGATAATTGGTGAAAACAAGAACTCACCTGGTTTAAAACACAATGTACATGCATTCCCGGGCTTCTGTTCCTTTGTTGATTGAAGGGGATTTTTTGGGTGTTTATTAGAGGAAGATAATCTAGCATGTATCCAGCTTGTTTGTTGTGTCTCACCATTCGCTTCGTAATCCTCCTCTCGTTAAATCATTATTACTTGACCAAGCGCAGTACACCGATAAGGTAGATTCAACGTCTTCATTTTCAATCCCTCAATCCACTTCCCCCTTCCTTCTTTCTTGGGATGCGCATATAACACCGGCACACGGTACTTCATGTTCTTTACTCGCCGCGATATCTGCGGCTGTTACTCTTGTTCCCGTCCATCCTGACACTTGATAAAATATCTCGACTCACCTGGTATCGAATCTGTGGAATAATGTGCCATCACATTATAATTTTCACCGTTGGACTTCGTCCCCGCTTCCTGCTTGTCCTCTCCTTCTTATATATACTAGCATATTTATTTCAACTTTGATTTCGGATCGAAAGTATTGTTTTCTCAAGTCACCATAACTGTTTCCATGTCCCTTTTTCCTCCTCTCGGCTGGTGCGGTTGTATTTGGCGAGTCTTGCAATATATCCACGGAGTTAACAATTTTATGTATTCATACTTTGACTAATGGCATTACCCTACTCTTATTTTCCTGAATGAGTTATTTATTTCGGCGTGCCTTTCCCCGCCGACACATACGTATAGAAGGGCATGTCAGAAGCTATTTAAAGGTGGTGCTGGTTCGCCAGCTGCAATTGCCAGAGCATTTCTTCAGTTTCTTGCCAGGATATTAGATGTCACTGGGCCGTTTGAATGATTCTAAATCGAACTGCATATGGGCCGTGCCTACTAACAGCAACTTTGAGCATCGATACGGGCCATACACAGTCGTAGACGACAGGCTGATCCTTGGAAGGATTTACTTTGAATGATTGTTGAGAGTTCCTGATCTCGTTCTAAAACGATTTGTCAGCCTTACAACACGGCACCCCGAATCCCGAACCCAGAACCCCGAACCCGAACCACATAAGCAATTTACATATCCACCTCCTTCGCGGTTGCAAATCGACTTCCAGCATATGTACGGAGTTGCGATTCATTGCCGTTGTTTGAGAAAAATAGAAACGAACCTACAATGAAAAACGCGGAAGGCTTAGAATGTGTCAAGTGCAAGTTCAAATTTACTCAGAGTACGCAGCTTCTCCCCAACTGAGTATTACATACTGACAGACCCACAGGATCCTCTCTTGTTCGGCATACCAGGAAATGTGTGGATGGCCGGTTTCAGAGTATCCGGCAAAAGGCTTGCCGCGAGTGTTCGGCTGCAAAGACGCGCTGTGATTTAAGGCGCCCTACCTGTTCTAGGTGTGGTCTCCGAAACACCATTTGTAGGTATCCCACAAGCCCTAGAGGCTTGGAAACCGGTGTGGGGAACCATGGATCGTCGCAAGAGGGCAATCAGAGATATAGTAATCTACCACAAGGCAATGCGACTTGCGAGCTGGAGCCACTGGGTGCTGGTTTGAGTCTGGATGCTGAACTCTCTGCTCCAGAAAACCAGGGTTTAGATTTGAATTCCCTATTACCTCCAGATTTAGGCGTTCTGGACAACGAATTGACATATCCATTTGGAGGTATTGACGACCTTGATACTCTGGACTACAATTATGCATTGATAAAAAACATGCCCGGCCCAAGCCGCGACGAACCCATTCAAATCTGGGACTCAGCTCCGCCGAGTTCTGCGCTGGGTGCGGCTCGTCATAGCGGCCAATTTATCCTTCGAGTATCTCTAACATGGCCTCGAATGATGGCCAAAGGCCCTCAATTGCCCCCTATTATACACCCCAGACAACTGTCGAACGGAAATATCCCTCTGCCTCTAGCAAACTGTTTTTCCCTGGCGAAAATGTGGGATGGACAGTGTCGGGGAGGCGCCGGCATTGTTGAACAAACAGTGAGGAGAGAGATTCAAGAGATCGCAAGCTTGGTATGCTACTGGATAAAAAAAAAAAAATTCTTCTTACTTGAGCATGGGTTGGCGCTGATCGATTAGAAGTTTCGATCATTCGACGAGGGCGAGCTCATCGCAGCCGTACAAGCGCTGACGATCTATACGCTCATCCTTTTATTTCCGTGTAATGAGCAGATGGCGGTCTCACTACTTGACGATAAGCTCGTCAAGCATCTGAAGACTATCGTGCATTACGTCCTGTCAACAGGTATGGTGATCGAGGAGGAGATCAATCGTACTCGACCCTTATGGGACTGCTGGATATCTGTTACTTGCAAACGACGAGCAGTCTTAGGTCTATATAGTATATACTGGGCATACAGTGCATATCATGGCATGCAAGGTTTTGATTGCAGCGAACTAAACCACATTCCGGCACCGGCTCCCAAGTGCCTTTGGCAAGCCACGACCAAAGAGCAGTGGGAGTCACTATACAACCGATGGCTAGCCCAGTGGGACGGGCCGTATTATCGCCAGGGAGAACTGTTCACAATAGCTCCTGGGGTTCGGATGGACAAACGCGCAGAGCTGTGGTTTGAAGAAGTAGATGAGTTTGGTATGCTATTTGCAACTTCGAGTAAGTATTTTTCCTTTTCATTTACTTTTTATCTTTCTTTCCCGTGCATGTCCTAAAAGAGCGAGAGAGAAGAGAGTCAATGCAGCGCCAATGCTTAAAAAATGTGCTTCTCTTCAGTCAAAACCTTTGAACGAGGGCCGGAGTTTGCTGTCTCACCTGACGACCCCTAAGTTCACTAGCTTTGTTGGTTTCACGAGGGCCGATGAAATATAAACGGATCGCTAGCTGGCACACGTCGTAGTCGTGTGGATTCTATACGGCTCAGCATCGAAGAATCTTGAGCATCCCATCTTTCGAGACGTGGTGTAGAAGCATAACCATATGCCGAACGAGCATAGGTTTTTCATATCCAGGAAAAATACCAGACACTCGGCGCATTCTGAACCACAACTATCGAATATATTGCTGTGTACAAGTTACAAGTGAAGTGATCGATGGCTGGACATCAAAACCTTTCTAGGGACGCTCTTCCTCTCTTCAAATATGTTGGCGCAATCTTGTTTATATTTTTTGACTTTGCGAGAGCTGGGGGCGGTCACAGCCGTTATCAGTTAGGAGTAAATTAGAATTGTTGGACAGGAAGGCTTCATGCTTAGGGGACCGATACGCAACGAGATTAGAATGCATGATTTGCGGGAATATCTTGAAAATACATTTTCCTGTTCGGGAGGCTAATTCTACCCCAACAATAGTTGCCCCGCAGCAAGTTTCCCCCCGTGAAGAGAGGGCCCACACTCAAATCTGAACAGCGTCAGAGGACTATTGGAAACATAGAATGGGGGGAGAAAGCAGGAGGGCTGTGAAAGGGCGAAGAAGGGAAAACATAAGCTACAAATTCATATGGTAGGAGGGGAGAGGGCGGGGGGGCGTTATCCATTCTCGTCTAACAGACGTAATACTCTTGAAAAGGTAGGCGTCGAAAGTTATGACATATAACATCCAAAATAGTTACTTCGTTTGGAGAACGCACCGCAGAACGCAGAACGCAGAACGCAGAACTGGGGCAGCTGTCCTGTTGTGCACGACAAACAGTGCGAGGCCCCAAGTCAAACCCCATTCTCAAGATAGGCAAATTTGAATGCCTCCGTTACTATAAACAGTTTAAAATCTTACTTGGAAAACTTCTATCCTTGGTGCAGCACGAGCATCTGTTGTCCACCCGCTGGTAGTCGTCAGAGATCCCAGAACCAAGGATGACCGAACTTCTGAAATTATATCTGTTTGTTGTGGGTTTTCGTCCTGGTCTCGGTACCAGCGTACATGTACAACATATAAAAGATTTCCTCACCCAGTTAGTTGCATTGTTGTGTCTTGCCGTAAAGAGATAAGCCACAGTTAAGTGAGGAGTCAGTTGTTAAAAAACAATATCGAGTTGGTAGGAGGAATCGTAAATCTCCGCCCCATGAGTGCAGCATAATGTTTGAATCGGAAAATATGATTCAATGAGGCCTATCCAAGAGCAGCCACTCGGCTTCATTGGACATTGAAGCAGTGATGGCTATGCGAACAAACATCATTGCAACATTTATGGCTTCTATTCCATGAAATGCCCGGGCAAAATTTTCCATATACACCCCTGAAGCTATTAAATATAGATCAAATACATTTGCAAAAATCCTCTCGTCGATTTCGAAACAGAATGCAGGGGAAATGCTATTCAATTACCCATTTGGTAGATGTCTGGGGTATCACTGATGTGGCATCAGAGAAAAACAAGGAGATCAAGGCGCTATGTGCAAAATACTCAATGCACCGCTGTGTAGTTGATATCAAGTATGCTGTTGAAGCTTCCAAGCCTCAAGGCTCTCAGTTGTTTGGACTAGCTGCATTGTCGCATCCAGAGAAAGGCTCGTTGGTGATACTGCAGCGGCCTGTGCAGGCATCTCTCAACCAGTCATTAGGCCGAAAGTGGTATTTGAACCACGCCTCACAACTCCAATCTGCGGGAGCGAGTAAACCTCATTACCAATTTTGGAATCAAATTTTTGAAAGTATATTGCGGGACAGACTGGAGGTTGTGAACCATTCAATGCCCAGTAAGTTCGGGTGATGGAGGTTGTAGATAAAGCGAGTGAAATCGTATCAGGGCAGCAGAGATGGTATTAAGGCAACATACATTTAAGAAGCTGCAGCATGCAAAGTATCGACACCCGGGCCCGCAATAGACAAGAATTTAGTTAGGGGGCCCGGAGCAAAAGGAAAGCCTGGTAAGTTCTTGTCTACCCACCGTCGTACGGAATACAGTGGTGGCCCGTGCTCAAATGGTTGGCATTCAGTAGGGGTGAAGAAACCTGCAAGGCATGCAGAGCTGTAGTCACACTGTCCTGTCCTACAGATAGATGTCCTGGCGGGACAAATGGATACATCATACCTGGTCCTTGACTCCTTCTGCGCCGCTTTGAACAACCCGCAGAGCGCCAAGACAAGACTCGGCAATAGCTAACATAAGCGACGAGGGGGGCTGCTGACTCATCCGGCATCTCGGAGCCTCGGTTCGTGTGGCGGAACGGATAAACAAGAAATCAACTAATTCGCGAAGTTCTCCAAAGATTCTCCTGTGTACGCTGCATAAACCAGCACGTCGTCAAACCGTATATATATCAACAAGCTGCAGCCTTGGAGAAACATGACTTTTAATTTTCCTAGTCCTTTATCGCAGGGGTATCTACCAATTCCTGCTCTGCTGCTGCCCCAAAAGCCCGAATGAAATTAGCCCCTCAAATGGCCCTCCGCTTACCCATTCGGCTGGTCAGGTCAACAGCCCCTCCTGTTGCCCTGTCTTTCCCTCGCCCTATACCCGTACCGCCCGTAACGGGCTCGACCATATGGCACTGTCAAGCCCGTCAGAGCTCCCATTCTCCAATGGGCGTGGCTATTGATCGCAAGAAAGTTACTATCAAATCTTTGCGGGCGCTGTACAAAAAGAAGGAACCTATCACTATGTTAACGGCGCATGACTTCCCAAGCGGACATGTCGCAGAAGCAGCCGGCATGGATATGGTCCTTGTAGGCGACAGCCTAGCCATGGTTGCCCTGGGAATGGATGACACGAGTGAGGTGTGCTTGGACGAGATGATACTTCATTGCCGGAGTGTATCTCGTGCTGTTGGAGCGGCCTTCACGGTAGGATTTTGCATATGCATTGTTATGCCTCCCTCCTGTACACGTTACTCTACACGGCAATGGCTAATGATATTGTGCATTAGGTTGGTGACCTACCCATGGGTTCATATGAGATTTCTCCAGCGCAGGGCGTTGCTTCCGCTATTCGTCTCATTAAAGAAGGGCGAGTTCAAAGCGTCAAACTAGAAGGGGGCGCGGAGATGGCGACAACTATCAAGGCGATCACACAGGCCGGGATACCAGTTGTGGCCCACGTTGGTCTAACACCTCAACGAGAGAACGCGCTTGGAGGTTTTCGTGTCCAGGGTAAATCGACTGCCGGTGCCGTGAGAATCTTAAACGATGCTCTTGCAGTTCAAGAGGCTGGTGCGTTTATGGTTGTGCTTGAAGCCGTCCCTTCAGAGATTGCACGCATCATCACCGATAAGTTGAAAATACCAACCATTGGAATTGGGGCCGGTACTGGCTGTTCGGGACAAGTGCTGGTCCAAGTTGATATGACTGGGAACTTTCCGCGTGGCCGGTATCTCCCGAAATTTGTGAAGAAGTATGGTGATGTATGGGGTGAAAGCTTGAGGGCGATTGAGAAATATAGAGACGAGGTCAAGAACGGTGAATATCCTTCCCTGGAATACACATACCCCATCTCGAAAGAGGACCTAGAGGAATTTGAGAAATTGGCGAATAAAGCTTAGATCCCTTTGCAGTTACAATGTATATACATATATGTTGATTTTGCGTTGCATCAATCACGCAACTGGTGTTGCCAGTCCCCTATCTGAGCGGCTTGTTTGATTGTTAGGCGGACCGCCACGTCCTGTCAATTAGTCCAGACTTCGCGTCAAGAAATATCCGGGAATGAAATAGTCATATTTCGGTCATTCCTTCAAGTATATAACTAGTGGAACCCGCACCTTGGGGACCTCCGATTGCCCAGTGATGATGATCCAAAGCCAAGACTATTTTTCACTATCCAAAGGCTGGTGTCATTGAATATGCCACAATGAGTTGATCGTCCGTCTTAAAGCACTGAATTGCCCATTATCATTAGAATTTTGCCAAAAAAAAAAAATCAAAAAATCAAAAAATCAAAAAATCAAAAAATCAAAAAATCAAAAAATCAAAACGACAGAAGACTAACCCTCCAAAGGCCGCCTACTCCTTCGTCCAGTCCAGGAGCGAAGACGCTATTGACATAGCAAAACACGGAGTCGGTGTCCTTACAATCAAGCTTCTTGCGCAGAAATTTGACGACCGTCTCAAACTTCTGGGAGGCACTGATTTTGAATACACGGTTTCTCAGAATTGGTGCGGAAGGGAGAGGCTGGAAACGGACGGTAACTAACATCAAAAAATACACGGCAACAGTCAGCTTCTAATACCCCTCTCTGGTAACGTAGACTTAGTGACGACATGCATATAGAGATCAACATGTGCATATACAGTGGTTGGGGCAGGAGTTATTCAAACTCCGCCTTTTCAAACACCAAATAGACTTGAATAAAGAAAAGAGAAGAAAAGAAAAATTGACGAAAGCAGCCATTCATTTCAATATAGTAGCAGAGGCATACCGAGGAATAGGATAACACTCTAAAGTAGAACTCAAGAGATGGAGGAGAAAGTAGAAGAGCAAATATACAATTTGATGTAGGTGAATGCAGGGCCAGGAGCAATGAACTTGATGAAAACGACACAAAATCACAAATGTGCTCAAAGACCATCCAAGAACGATGGCTTCGTAAATAGTCATCCGTCTAAGCTACCCAAGCAGAGAGTGGAATATACTCCAGTAAATGCGTACCTTTGCCGGAATCAATGGCCTCGACATCAGCCAGTGCTTGATGGGCGTCCTTTGGAAGGCCAGTCAGCACGATGGACGCCGACATCGTCAATGGGAGATCAGCGCTATGGTCTTCATCTGGAATGGGCGTAGTTGCCACGCCTCGGCTGCCATTGTCGTTGCTGGGTCGTGAAGATCGGCTGCCTTGTCGGCTGGTCAGCCCGAGGCCGCGATTTGAGGCCCGTGGAGACGTGGGCTTGGAGGAGTTGGGTGATGCTGAGAGAGGTGGTGTCGACGCCATAGCTAATTATTATATTTGTAGGCGGTTCGTAGAGCTCGTTAAATAGCAGCTGTTGATGTCGGTACTTTGGCCTTAGCGTCAGACGTGGAGACTTGAGTTGTTGGCCTGTGATGGTGCCGGTGGAAGTTGGGTGTTATTTAAATATTGACGCCATCCAATGGCCATGACATTCCTTTCTTTTTTGTATCACAATGAGCACAAGCGGGGGAACTCAAAAAAAATCGCATAAGCTCTTTGCGATAACGGCTCCACGCGACATAGCCAGATGAATCTTAGTAACTGGCTCCCCTCTAGTTATCCAGCAAGTCTCTTTCGCTGGATTGAGTTGTTTCGGCTAAAAATAAGATATTGCGAAGCTCAGATCGTGGGGTCCTAACTATTAACAGGTATTCCTGCCATCCGGAGTGAATTTCAAATCATATTGCTATCACGGACGAATTTAATACTGTCGATAGATAATGACGGAGGGCATTGCTGTTAATCAAAACTTGAGCTCGTCGATTTTTGAGCCTGAAGTCTGTGCTATTCATGGTATCGATATATCGCTAACCTTGTGGCGACAAGTGCCAGTGCATGGATTGTTCTGAGCTTTCATACTAAAAAATGCCCCTATTCTATGATTCTCCTTAGGATTGCATGGCATAGTCGACATAGCTGGGAGAGAAAAGTTTTATATCTAATTTAGAATCGAATGCCATGTGCCATTCAATAAATTATTCGAAAATAAGTTCTCTATTAAATCTACAGCCCGAATTTGATACAGAAAAATAAAACATCTATGCCCCTGAGCACGCCCGATAAATTCCTTCCAAGAGAGACAATTATCCATTATGATTATGCTACCAGACCTTCAAGATTTAGAAAGTGGCCATGAGAGCACTGAATAAAATACAAGCGACCCCAGCAACGAGCTGCATCCTGCCCTGGGTACTCGCACCACTGGGCACGTTGATGTCGCTGGGGGTTGGCGCACTTTCCGTGCCTTTCGCTTGGTTGCCGCCAGTGCTCGAATCGGTACCGGTTGGTGTAGGCTTGCGGCTCGCTGATGGCTCATTGGTGCATGTAGCGCTGGAAGACTCTACAGAATTTCGGCATGAGTTAGCATATGTGTATGTTTCTCCATCAACATATAAAGAGCACGAAATAAAATGCAAAACAGAAGCAGACGAGGATTGTGTTCTACGTTCCCTGAGACAAATCAGGGTCCGGTTTGCAGGGGCAATTTCCCTTCAACGAGGGAAATGTTTAACGTTCTCATAGGATCGGAGGGGAAAAAGACAATAGCATCGCTAGCCGCGTTTAGGACTGTGGCCATTAACACGTACCCTTCGACCCACAATTCGTTTGTGTGGGTGTCGCAGTTGTCGAGGCAGTAGTAGATGGAGTTTCCGTGTCATCACCTGGATTATGGCTGTTCACCTTTCCATCCACGGCTTCGATCGACTGCCAGTTCCCAGTTTTGTCTTTGTATTCATACTGCTTCCCCGTAGAATAGTCGGTGACCTTTATGGATTTGATTTGCATGGTAAAAGGTGCAAGAGAATAGTCAACCGGACCTCCAGCCCATTCTAGCGATCGAGGATCAGTTATGTTGGAGCACCAATTGTGGGAGCGATACCTGTACATAAGAGGGACACTTACGAACTGTGCCCGGCTGATTCTGCGAGGGATCCCCCCCTGCCCAGTTCCCAACTTTGATGTAAGATGGGGTTTGTGGGTAGTTGCCAGCCGCCGAAGTAGCGACGCGAATGGTCTCCCCATCAATCTGCCAAATAATCCGATCACTATCCCAGTCCACGGTGTACGTCCTAAACTCATTCTGGTTATTTGGGTTAGGGTGGTATCCGGCTCTTGTGTGATCTGGGTTTCTCTTTGCGTAATAGTTCGTCTGGAGTTGCATGTTGTCTCCGCCAATCCACTCAAGATCGATCTCGTCACCACATTCGGACTGCACGACAACACTGCTCACAATGCCTTTGCCTGGTGAAACCTTGAGAGTGGCTTCTATTTTGCCAAACATGATGTAGAAATTGGACTGGATCTCAGCCTTTACTCCATCTTTGTTTATCGTGAAGCTTCCCCCGTTACCATCATATTTGATATCCTTCGACGCGGACCAGTCCGCTGGCGGGCCTTTGGTTAAGTCGAACGTGACAGATTTCCCCAGAGCGGGGTTCGGGGGACAAGCTTAACGGCTTCAGTCAGCATTCTTCTCTTCCGATGTAGATAGCTTTCTGTACACACCATTGGATTATCGGGCGACTTACACTTTTTCAGAGGATCGCATTTGGTGTACGTTTGTGACAAGACCAGAGAGAAATGGCAGAAGGCTACAGCCAGCCGTGGGAGACTCCAATGGAGCAGCATTCTGAGTACTTGAGGGAGATGTGGGAATGTAAACTGCCAGGGCGGTATTCGAACAGGTAGATTTATCTACGTTCGACCGCAAAATCTGTCCGAAGGAAGATTTGAATGCCACAGTCAAGCTGCGCCGGACAGGGTATATATATGTATTTACAACTCGAGAGAACAAGAATAGCTTTGCTGACGAGGGGGGGGGGGGTCACTAGCCAGCTGTATCATGGGCGCAGCTACCCCGTACATGCATCATACATACAAAGGAAAGCAACCAGTCGGAATTTATGGTATGGCGCCGTACATGAATTACCATAACATTTCATTAATATGAAATCCATTCCCTCTTTGTGTTGATTGGAGGGCCTTCCGCCCACGAATCTTACCACCGCGAGTGAATGAGCATCCAAACAGACGGAGGACATCGTAGTGAGCGATGAGAAATAGCCAAGATCCACCTGACAATGCAGATCCCGTTCCCTGGCGGGAAGCTTAAAAGAAAAAGAAAGAAAAATTCAAGCACAAATCCTGCATGGAAGCTAAATGGACGGAATATGTTGGCTGTAAAGATACATGAGAGGAACTTACGGATGTATGTACGGAGTAGTATAAGAAGCATAATAAAGCGAAACGCACGTCTCTCCATGACTCGTCCATGAGACACACCTGGAGGCACACCTGGAGGCACACCCAGGCAGCTCACAAGCAGCCTGGTTGGAACTTACGCTGTCGATGTGGCCGATGTCTCTCATCAGCGGATGCGGCACCGCCAGTGGTGGGGCATGCGACTCACGGCACCGAGGCGGCCCTAAAAATAGCCACTCAGCTTACCATCGCGATCGACCGACAATTTGACACTGACAGACAGCCTTATCAAACTATCGTCAGACTGACCGCGTCGCAGCTTGAAACGCAACAACGGTGGCCAGGGACAACGCAACCTGGCCGCCAAGTGGTTTGACGGCCCTGACCCAGGTAGTTGTTGGCAGTGAATGTGTCCGTTTTACTCGCCGGGACAGCATGCCCTTGCCGAAACGCCCAATTTCCTGGATCACGCAAAGTGACGTGATGTTGCAAAGTGGCATGGTGATGTTTTTCTTTTTCTTTTATGGCCAAAGCGACGAGGAGTTGTTGTGCTATACGGAGTGCGAAGTAGCAACTGTCTGAGACAGATAATTCGAAAGGGGAAGCGCTCGAAAATGAGTTCATCACTCTTTGGCCATCAAATCGGAACGGAGGTCAACCGCGTGATAGACAGGACGATCGTGCTGAGAGTGAGATTAGTGGCAAGATGGTCATTGCTCTGAGACCTGTTACTGTCCTTCTAAGTGTTAGCAAAAGCAGGACCCGCAGTTTCCATTCAAATGTGGATGTGCCGAGGTTTGCTGGAAAATTCCCAAAAATGTTTATATCTCTTATTTGTGCGCCGATCAAACACTTGTGCTGCTTTACTCCAATATCTCTGACCCTGAAAATGAAAAGAAACGAGGAGAGAAAAATATATCGAATCGAATCGAATCGAACCGAGGGAAAATAAGCGAGTGAGAATGAGAGAGCCTGGGAAACTTTGAAAATAATCTGAAACAAACCCCCTTCTAACTCTACGCAGCATACCTAACTAGTACCTGCCTCCTTGACAATAAGAGCTTCATATTCCCTGTACGACATTTCTCACCAACCCCGCCATGGCCACCATGACCTCTTCTTCCGCTGCTCCCACTGGCAGCACCCTCTGCGGGACTCCAGTCATGTACGAAATCCCCACCTTAGATGCGGCCTGCGCTGTCCCCAACAATACCCAAACCATAGCTTCCATGAGGGACTGCTGCAAGCACGCAAATGTCACTTCCTACGACGGTGGCTGTGCTCTCGTCTGTCTTGCGATCGGCCAATCTGTAGGACAGCTCACAAAATGCTTGTATTCCACTGGAGTGCCATACAACCAAGTGTGGTGCAACATGCTGCCGAACGCGACGGCTACGGGTGTGTCTCCTGCGCAAACGAGCACGGGCACAGGTACGGTCAGGCCCTCCTCGACGCAAAGTCCAGGTACAGCCGCTTCCCTGTATATGCCGGGATATGTTCAGTCGGGACCGACGAAGTTGGGACTTGCGGTTTGCTTGGTTGCGATTCCGGCCTTCATTGGTGGGATGATGTTTTGAAGGAACATTTATCTGAAAATTTTGAATTGTGATTTTCTGTTTCTTTTTTCTTTTTCTTTTCTTTTTCTATTTATTTCTTTCTAGCCCTTTTTTTTTTTTTTTTTTTTTTTTTTTTTTTTTTTTTTTTTTTTTTTTTTTCCCCTGATACCTGATTCAGGTACAGTGCCGGTTACAGGGATCTATATACTTTCATCTGTTTACATATTTGTCATTTTGCGCATGCATAATTGTAACTACAAAATTTTTTATTATTTTATTAATTTATATCAATTAATATTCTGTTAGAGAAACTCCTTCATTCAGGTCCAGCGAATAATTCCGGGGGTAAATCCGTAGGTCAAGTCGAGGCGCAGAAAAACAACTAGTAGCACAATGTAGATCCTGTGTGCCAGGGGTCAATCAATACTAATATGTAGCAAAATATTGAGCCCGTGAAGCAGGAGGCCGCTTATTGATGTCTTCGCCGTATGAAGCCTTGTAGTCACAATTCTCATCGAACTCGAAGACCCTCCTCTTCTTGACAAACTGCGCTCTATCTGTGAATACGTAAAAAAATGTAAACCCCACAGAAATGCCAAAACTGTGTTAACTACTGTATTTAGTGATTACTCATACATGATCTACAACGAATTTAGATGCTTCAACTGTTAAATTCCGCACAATATCCCTCCAAGGAAGGGCGGTCAATTTACAGCATCGCCTTGGGCATTTGCTTCATAGCCTGTCTAACGCCTAAATCTGCCAAAACCTCCTCCGCACCACCAAGAATCGCATCGAACTTGTAAGTACGGTGGAACTGCTCCACAACTCTGCCCATTCCAGTCTGCGTTATGCCCCGGCCACCAAAGATATTAACGGCATCGTCTGCAATCTCATGCGCGCAGCGCGTCGAATACGACTTGAGAAGTCCAATGGGACCACCAAGGTGCCTCGATCGCTCTCCATAGCTCATGCTGCACATTTGATACGTGATGGTTTCCAGCCAGGACTGCGACGCCTCGACAAGAGAGATCATCTTGGCCAATTTCTGTCGGATGACGGGCTGGTTGATAAGGGGTTTGCCGAAGACGATTCTCTGGTTCGCCCACTTGAGACACTCTTCAACGATGGTGCGGCACCAGCGGGTGACGCCGCAGGTCATCGCCCAGCGCTCGTGATTGAAATTGCTCATGATCACGATGAAGCCCTTGTGTTCTTCGCCGAGCAAATTTTCAACGCGGACCTTGACGTTGTCGAATTGGATAAAGGCCGTGGCTGCAGTGGTGGAGTAGGAGGTTTTGATCCGCTTGGTCTCAACGTTATTGTCGCGGGGGATGAGGATGACGGAGTATCCCTTGTCAGTCCTGCAAGCTGTAACGAAGTAATCCGCCCACATGCCGTTGGTTATCCATTTCTTCGTGCCTGAAGCGAGTAGGATTAGATATTAGCTCTCAGAGACCAAGAGAGAAGAATAGAGCAGGCATTCTCTGAGAGGCACAAATTTGCTTAATTACGTACCATTGATTATATAGTGCTTGCCATCAGGAGTTTTCTCCGCTGTTGTGCGGATACCCGCCACATCGGATCCAGCAAACGCTTCCGTGACGGCCAGGCACATAAATTTCTTCCCAGACAAGCACTCTTCCGTGACCCTGTCGCGGAGATCCTTATTCTTCAGCCACTGCCGTACGGCAGACAAAGAAATCATCATGCCAGCCATGTTACCGTCCTGGAACCCTCGAGCATTTGCCCGCGCCAGCTCCTGCGCAACTATAAGGTCATGGAAGTAATCAAACTCTTCTCCCTTCACACCACCAAGAAGCTTCCGTCCGTGTAGATGAGGCCCCGGTCCCAACCGCATTGCGAGCAAATTTGTCTCCGCCATCTTGTCCACGAGCGCTTGTGAGATATACGTACCATCAATCTCCTTCTCCTGCGCTTCCGGATACACGTGTATATCAACAAACTCCCGCACGGCCTTTCGTAACCTGCGATGCGACTCATTATAGTAAGGACTCTTGTAGATCGGGGATAGCCAGACTGGTTCCCCATATGGAACCTTGCTGAGATCGCCAGGCTGCGGGTCCACCACTTCAGGCACTTCGTTCTCGACAGTGCCGATGCAAAGGTTGGCATATTTCTGCAGCACCTCGTGTCTGTGCAGGTTGTAGAAAGCGGTCGTAGCGTCTGTGCCGGCAATCTGGGTGAGAACGACATTTCCACCCGGGTGCGCATCGAGGAAGTCGGTCAAATCATAGACTTTATGGTCGATAATACACCAGCACGAGTCCTCCGTGTTATTTTTGGCAACTTCCTGACGCGATATCTTCCTGTTTGCTGCGTTGGATGCCATCCCAGTTCACTTGGTTCAAGGCGGGTCCGCTAGTGTGGCAGAAGCAATAGATGATTTTGCTGCTTATGAGATCAACCAACTTGTCAAATGCTGAGTTTTCCAGATTATCTCACTGGAGGTTGGTGTTACTTATGTTTCGTCCGAGGGCACTCTCTGTTGAAGGGATCGGATACTACCATCTTTGCGTCAGAGACCACGGATAGCAAGTAGCTTCGAGGCGCGGTGCCTCGGCTCCACGATTTAAGTGTGGATCCCGCTCAACCACTGACATCACTCGTATTTATACCTCGGCAGCCTATAGCAACATTTGATTCTTTCAAATATTTAATCAAGAATTCATTTCCAGTTTTTATATTGAATAAAAGTTTTAAATTTAACTGTTTCAATTCAAATTTCTCTCTCAATCTCAATCTTAACTTTTGTATGTTTTGCTAAGATCCCAAGGTGCGGGCTTCAAAGCAAAAATAGTTGCATTTCCCTTGAAGCTTGGCGATTTCCCGATTCCACCTAGTTCTCTCACCACAGTATCCTGCTGTGGTAGCCTGGCAAGCACCGTAAACTCTGATGCCGATTTAACGGCTGAACAGTTGTATCTGAGGCGGAGCCCCCATGCCTTTCCGTTGATTGGCTTGGTAGGCTGTGGTGTCAAGAAAAATTCTGGGATCCCTCCATGAACAGGGAGCGAGTTTGGTAAACTCGCGAACTGAGGGTATTTATCACGATTTACAAATGGAGGTGTATATATAATACCCATGCCAGGAACTGTGACAGGTGCAGCAGTCCTCCATGCATTGCCTCCGCGGCCGGCAGTTTGACCAGTGTCACGACTGTTAAAATTCTCCCGTGTGCGACCGCTTACCATGGGATTTCATCGCTATTGACATATCCATCAGCAAGCTGCATGCAAATTCCAGATAGTGGAATTGCAATCGATCCGAGAATGCTAATAAAAGCGAGGAGGTTCCATAGCCTATGAGTTCCTGGGTGCCTTCCGGCGAGGAGTCTAGAAATAGAGCCGAGCCAGCCGTTGGGGCCGGCCCAACTACCGCTACTATGCATTAAAATGACCATGGCATTTCCAGCTTGCCAGAACGGATGTTGCAGCATGGCGACCTCAACAACCTTCTAATCCATATTTGCTAAGGCCTAGCCCAAACACTGCAATTATGAACCACGCGTAATATATCAGGATCTCGTTCTCGCTTCCATAATTGACAATATCACGCTTCCGCAACAGGTTTAACGAAATGAACACCCAGAATCCAGTGATGACAAGAGGCATCAGAATTCCAGCTAGCGTTCGGGTGTAGTATCGAGTGAGTTTGTAACAGCGGCCGGGCGGGCTATCCGGAGTGAAGGGTGGTGATTCGAGTTTATCATGCTCGATCAGAGGTTGCGAGCTCGTCGCCGTCCCGGGAGAGTCATTCACGGAACACACATAATCGGTACTCCTTTCGAGATCCAATTCCTCTGGCACTTTCCTTGTATGAGTCCGTTTCTGTTCTTCGCCGTCCATGTTCCTGCAAGGTTGAAAACAAAGCGATAATTTAAGGGGTACACGGTAGACTTTGATAGTAAATCTAAAGATTTTGCCCACTTATACCTCTTTCATGTGAAGCCCTTCGGATGCTGGTCTATATATGCAATCACTGCAGTAGACAATTACAGCGTACATTCTTAGGAACTGGGGACAAAACCCGACGTCGGAACAGGTACATGTACATACATACATATACGTGTATGTCCACGGACCTGTACAGTGGGGGACTGGCCAATCAACTCTTGTCTATGCTGCTGCAGAACTGTTGGTGATGACAATGCACTCTTTTTCCACCAGGAATGCTCGCCAAACCCTTGTTACTTCAATCCAACAGCATTCATCCAGATGTTTGGTACATCCTAGTTCGTAATTCCGTGACCCTGCCATGCAGCTGAGGCGCCTCCTGTCCAATAACTGGCCCTGAGTTGATATATCTAGCAGCTGTCAAGAAGAGTTGCACAAACCCTCCAGGCACTCCAGGTTGACATACAGTAGCTGCTATATCTCCAGTACTATGATTCGGGTTAAAAAATACTGGGCAATGATTGAGCCCGTTCAAGGGGCCGGTTGCGTTGTCTGTGACCCGCTGAAACCGAAAGCCATCGACTGAAAGGGCCACATACCTATCTATGTCAGCACCGGCAATGCGAGCATAGAATGAGTGGAGGTGATATGGTGGCAATCTCGTTCTCATCTGATATCCGCAGGTTCAGCTGAGTGCACGGGCTGGCGGCTGCTGGGAGCTTGGCATCAAAATGCACGCCAAGCGTCATCTCCACTCGAAGCCGGACATGCATGCGCTTTGCATTTTGCTCACATTTTCAAGCAGCGCGGGAACGGCCAACTGACACAAAGGAAAGCGGAATTTTCTATTAATATCTGTGGGACGTCTAAGTGGTTGTATTAGCATGTAGGCAGCTGAGGCTAGTCCGTGATAGGCAGCCTGGGCCAACAATATCGTACCTGGAAAGCGGAAATGCTGAGCATATTAGATATCTCAGCCTCCGTTGCATTGCAAAAAACTGGGTGGTGTTGCATCCTTACGAGTTCGCCGACGAGATGAACGAACATGGCTGAAAGCAGCCTATCACATAACTAGGCCAGTTGGTTTGTCAATGTTGGGGAGTGCTCACTCACCGTGACCCTTGCTGGCAACGGACCGCTTCTACAGGCAATGTTCGATACCAAAACACCACCAACTACTCCCGAGGCGATATTCTCCTTAAAAAGGAATGGATATTCTGAAAGGCTAGTGCATGGTTTCAGGAAAAGCTGTGACAAACCCATTGTTAAGGTCAATCTCTATTTCAATGTTTTCTCCTCAGCCCTTTCTTGGGATGGCTGGTGGTGGCTTTTCATTGTTCCTCAGGATATCACCTATCCTCTCTCTCAATCTTGCTGCATCAAAGATTATATGAGAAGGAACAAACAAAGCCTTTATCTCTTTCATTGTCAGCCTCTCTCTGTTCTGCTATGTTGTATTCACATCTAGGATTGTATACACTTCAGACACAGGCATTATGTGCTGTTTTTATAACAAAACAGCAGCCCTTTGAATGAACAAATTCACAGAAGCAAGACAAGGGTGTGTTACGGTTTCTTGTGAAGATGGCCAGATTCCATGGTCCATATATCTCTTCCAAAGGGGAAGGGAAAGTATGGCATTTCCTCAGGATAGTCATGCTCTTCTATGAAGCCGTTTCACCCAGCTGGTGAGACAGACAAAACACAACAGGTGGTTAGAATATATCACAAACTAGTGAAGGGTAATTCCATAAATACAGCGTCGCTTCACTATCTCTTGTTTGATGATGCTGAAGGATTTTATGCCATAATGGAATATCATACCTTCTTGTCTATCTGTGACCTCATTTTCTTCCCTCTTTATCTCCAAGTCCCACCACCAACTTTCTTTCCTGATTCGAAAACGATCACAAACAGTATTCTTTGCTAATAACCAATTTTGCTGGTCAAGATGCGTTTGTTTAGAGTGCCCATATGGCTTTTCGGTGTCCAGCTGGCTGCCGCCAGATTTTGCGCGTATTTAGATCAGTACGTAGCACCCACCCCAATAGTACTCCATCTCTCCAGATGCTGATTGACGTGTTTATATGTTGTATATGATGTGCTAACCAGGATGACCCTCAAAATCTGTGTAGATGGCATAGCACCATCCTCCCAGGTAAAGAAATAACCACCGGCGTCGACTGTGCTATCATGGCTTTCGCAAATAGCAGCCTCTTCGTCGAGAGTCCATCGGGCGAGTATACCCCATTCCCCCCCATCAGTGAAATTCGAGGCCGCTTTGCAAATGGCACTAAACTGCTTATTGCAATCGGAGGCTGGGGCGATACGGCGGGATTTTCTGCATGTTCTAAAGAGGATGCTAGTAGGAAGCAGTATGCGAAAAACGTAGCGGAGATGGTTAATAAACATGGTTTCGATGGTGTTGGTATGGTATCCTCCTCTTTACCCATTTCAATATCTCTTTTTGAAAGTCGCCCCATAAACATGACAGTTTGCCTTAGGTTCTAACTGTGTGTTTCTTCTAGATATCGACTGGGAATACCCTGGGGGTAATGGACTAGACTACAAAGAGACTTCGAACTCAGCAAAAAAGAGCGAAATTGACAATTTCCCACTTTTCCTCAAGGAAATAAGAAACGCTATTGGCACGGAGAAACAACTCTCCATTGCGGTGCCTGGCAGGAAGTCAGATATGATTGCCTATACTCCCGAAAACGGGCCGGCTATCTGGGAGAGCGTAGATTTTGTCAATGTACTATTTTCTAATAAGCCATCTACCCTTACTACGTTTGAGAGAATGCTTACCGTTTTATTCAAGATTATGACTTATGACCTCATCAATCGCCGTGACAATGTGACAGCCCACCATACCAGCGAAAAGGGCTGCCTAGAGACAGTCCAGAACTACCTAGATATAAAGCTGCCTCCCGAGAAAATCAACCTGGGCTTTGCTTTCTACGCAAAGTACTTCACGCTAGACCCCAAAGCAAACTGCACTTCAGAAAAGCCGGTTGGATGTCCCATAGTCCACGGTGAATTCGAAAATGGCACAGATGCTGGCACTTCGGGCTCCGTTACGTTCGAGGTAGCCGAGATATCCCCGCCTCGTGCTCCCGTTGGAGTTTCGCCAAATGCGACTTGTGGACCTCTCAATGGGTTTCGATGCGAAGATGGGTTCTGCTGTAGTTCGGCTGGATATTGGTAAATAAAATACCCCCCTAACCCCTTTTCTTACATTTTCTCCCTATCCTCCCCCAAAAACACAGCTCCTCCCCACTACACGACGCCCCTGTGCAAACATACCACTTTCACAGAGCACCTGCCCAATGCAGTAATTGATGTCCAATTAAAATCAACAGCGGCAAGACCCCCAACACTGTAACAGCGGCTGTCAACCCAACTACGGAAAATGCGACGGAGTAGATACCGGCGGCTCGTTTCGACGCGCACGGACAAACGGGATGACCGACAGGGAGCAAGGAGGACGGTACTATGTAGACGAGCAGGCCAAGCTCTTTTGGACTTGGGAAACCACCGATCTCATCGCGAGGAAGTTTGAGCAGATTGTATGTGCGAAAAAGCTGGGTGGCGTGATGGCGTGGGGGCTTGGTCTTGATAGTTACGATTGGAATCATCTTGAGGCGGTCGAGAAAGGGATGGAGGGATATAAGGGGACGGCAGGTAATAAGACGTCATACCGGTAGATGTTTTCCTTTGTATGGCAAGTTGCAAAATGTTTGCTTGGTGTTGTTTTTTTATTCCTTTTTCCCCATCTCTTAGTACTTCCGTCATGTATCTGGTACGGGGAAAAGGGGCAAGAGGAATTATTTCTCTGGTTGTACTGTTAGCATCATTTATAGCATTGCTAAGTCAGGATTGCCTGTAGGCTCTTTTACAATGCTTCTGCTGCATTTCATTGAGTATTCTGGCTGTTTGATGCTGCGACCTAATATGAAATACTTTCATTGAATAGCACAGGGGCAATCAATGCACACACATATTGAATTTTGAATAGGAAAATCACAGTTATTGTCATCCCTCTCAAGTGTTGTTAGTGAGACCTAACTTCTTCAACACTACAAACTCCACAACTGAAAACAACTTTGTTAGCATCAGAATACATTGTCATCATTCATCTTTAGGTCTCTTGTTCTCTGATATTCCCTTATTCATCAAACATCTAGATTTGAGCAAAAACACACTTCTGCGGTTCTCATCAGAAGTGAAGGATGCTTCTTAACCCAGCCAGTCTCCGCACAGAGTTCAGAGCACGAAACATTAGAAATGACATTGTGAGTGAGTCCTTATATACTTCTCACATCAGCATGGGCAGGGGGACCATGCTGACATCCCATACCCTTATGTTCAGCAAGAGGCAAAAAGAAACAGTGACCGTCCCAAGAAAAGATACTGGTTCAAAAAGATCATGATGAAGCTCTGGCGCCCATTGGGCGAAATCACCCTTTTGAATACAATCAAAGAGAAGGTCTGTATTCTTTGCTTCCAATTCATTGGGGTTCTTCTCCTAGGCTGTATAAAAAGAATACTAACTCGCTTCCCACCCCTGAAGCGTCGCGAGAAACGAGCTGCCAGAGGACCATATCAGCCAGCCCCGATGCACACTGAGTATCAGTACGTTTACGCAGATGTACCTTCAAGTACCTCTGAGCTCGAACATGATATCGACAATGACAGTAACTTGGCAAATGAAAGAGAGAGTTTGGCATCAGACGCGTCGTCGGTGAGGGAAGAAGACATGCTCCACCAGGACGGGTTTGATATGCTGAACAACGGGAAAGAATTTAAGAGACGAGCTGATGAGAATGGAGATTAACAATAACGATGTTTGGTTCGTTGGGCGTCTCTGTAGATAACCTTCTCCTCCGCGGTGTTCTCCTTCAAATAGAACAATAAGTGACAGGAGAGACGCATACTAATGTGTCTTGGGATGATAAGCGAAACCCAGTGGCCGGAGTGTTTGTATTTCTCGCGTAAGCAACATTTTGTGGGGATGTGCAAGTTTCTGATTTGAAACAACTTGAATACTTGGTACTGGGCACTGGATGATGGGCCGATTCCTCATGGCGAAAAAAAAAAGATATGTTCATACTTGGGATGGGATGTACAGTTCATTTTTCGAACAAAGTAAATTAGAAGATTCCATATCATCACACCCAGTGGTCTGTGCAATGTTAAGAAAGAACCCTGATTACCCTTATAAAAGGTGGCAATTCCCTCTGCAAACACAGGCATATCTACAGCATCATCTTATCTCAGCATGCTCAGCCTCTCTTCTTGATATTTTCAGATTAGTGTGATCAGTTAAACTCCTTTAGACTTCTGCCAAGTTGTACTAACTTCTGAACCAATCAGTGACTTTCCATGTGCTCGCAACATAATATCTTGTAGAAAAAACAGTTTCATTTTATGTGAAAAATCAATTTCACTCATACAAAATATTCAACTGATTTTAACATCATACATCTATTCTAAATATCTGTCTGATCATTATAAAATTGTTATTTTTTGAATTCTCAATAATTATGTTATCATCTCTGATATTTTTCAATCTGTTATTTCTTTTCATTATATTATAACTGTCAATAAAAGACAATATATCTTTCAAATCCTAACACTTTCAATATCAGATACATTTCAATCAATTTTCTTGGTCAACTGAAAATGAAATCTTTCAACAATCACTACATTCTCTCAATAATTTAAATGATAAATATGAGACATCAGATAAGGATTTAACAGATTTTGAATTTTTTGATATTTTATTAAAATTTAAAATTATTGATATTAATTTTCTATAAATTTGTTCATTAACATCTCTTCATTATAATTTACAACATCTACATTTTATATTTTATAATTGATGAAAAATACTTTTAAAATTATCTTATATTATTAAAGTATTACAGTGAAGCAGTTGAGAAATACAGATCTTTATAAAGATTTAAATTTAAAGTCTAAATATCTTAACTCATCAATAATACAGCACATCTGCAAAACAATGAAAAGCATTATATTCAGCATTTTTAAAAACAGAAATATTTAATAATAATCAACATTATATTGATTTATTTAAACAAAAGTTGAAATATTTTATTGATATTTTATTTTTACAAAATTCAATCATGATTCTGATTTGAATATTCTTGATTTTCAAACTGCTTTTCAGATCATTCAAATCAATGCATCAATCTGATTTAATTTATTTATTTCTATTTTAAAAAATAAACACATCAATTGAAAGAGTTATGAATGGGACTCAGATGAAACAACATTTATTAAATAATTATTTGTTATTATAAATATTATGTATCATTCATATTTTTTGAAAAACTTGAACTTCTTCAGCTTTATTCTCTCTGTATATTTTCATAACTCAGAAGTAAAATGATAAGTAATAGAAATCCTTTTTAATTTTGAACGTTATTATAATTATATAATGAGAAATAGATTGATAATAAAAATTGTTAAATAAAAGAAAATATAATTTGATATTTTTAATTTATTAATATTTCTATTTAATTTTTCAACCTTTTAATAAAAATTAATAATCTTTATTATTTTTTAATATATTTTTTAAACTTTTATCAAGTTCTGAGTCAATCATTTGATTAATTTTTATTGTTAGATTAAATTTCAACAGCTTGTCAAAGATCTTTGGGCTGTTATAATCTACAACAATATGAATTTCAAAAAAACTATATAAAACAAAACAATTAACGTAATCGATAAGCGAGCGAGCCACATAAGCAAGCGAGCCACTTCCCACCTGCCATACAACAAGAATGCTTTTCAACAAAAATGTCAACCACTCAAAGAAATAAAGTCTCTGCTCAAGAAGGAAGGCTTCTTTTAGCCATTCAAGCACTTAAAAATGATCAAATTTCAAGCATACGAGCTGCAGCAAAGCTGTATGATGTCCCTCGCTCAACCCTCACTCACCGTGTCTCTGGTCGTACAGCACGCGTGGACATTCCCCAAAAGAACCGAAAACTTAGCCTTACAGAAGAAGAATCACTTGTTCAATGGATTCTAGCCATGGATGAGCGAGGTCAGCCACCCCGGGTTGCAGCTGTACGAGAAATGGCCAATCTCCTTCTTGCCAGTCGAGGAATCAACCCCTCACCCACAGTGGGTGAATGCTGGGTACGAAACTTTGTCAATCGCTATGAAGAGCTGAAATCCAAGTTCTCCCGCAAGTACGACCATCAACGTGCACTATGTGAAGATCCTGAGGTTATCCGTGGGTGGTTTAAGCTTGTACAAAACACCATTGCAAAGTATGGGATTCTGGAAGAGGATATCTACAACTTTGATGAGACAGGCTTTCAGATGGGGGTTATTGGGACTGTCAGAGTGGTGACTGGATCTGAAAGAGCTAGGAATCCCAAGCTTGTACAGCCTGGAGATCGGGAATGGGTGACTGTTATTGCTGGGGTCAATGCAATGGGCTGGGCTCTCCGTACAATGATTATCCTCAAGGGAAAGATGCATCAGTCCTCTTGGTATGAGACTGAAGGGCTGCCGCATGACTGGGTGATTGGAGTCAGTGAGAATGGCTGGACCACTGACCAGCTGGGCTTGTACTGGCTGAAAGAGGTGTTCAACAAGGAGACTCTACCCCGTACAAAGGGCAGATACCGACTGCTGATTCTAGACTGGCACTGAAGCCATGCCTCAGCTGAATTTGATCAATTCTGCTCTGAGAATCAGATCATTGCTCTCTACATGCCACCACATTCCTCTCATCTTCTTCAGCCACTGGATGTTGGGTGCTTCTCCCCATTGAAGACTGCATATGGACGACAGGTGGAGAATCAGATGCGGCTTGGGATCAATCATATTGACAAGGAGGAGTTTCTGGCCCTATATCCTGCAGCTCAGATGCAGGCTCTGACTGAGAACAACATCAAGAGCAGTTTCAGGGCAGCTGGGCTGGTTCCATACAATCCTGAGCAGGTTCTCTCGCGCCTTAATACCACAATGCATACCCCCACCCCACCTGGGACCTCTCATAGCTCTCAGGCCTCCTGGGCCACTGCTACACCACATAATATACACCAGCTAGAGCAGCAGACTAAGAAAGTTAAAGGATATATTAAGCACCGTACGCAGAGCCCACCCAGCCCAACTGATCGTGCCCTAAATCAGCTGGTCAAGGGATGTCAAATGGCAATGCATAGTGCTGCTATTCTAGCAGCTGAAAATAGGGAGTTAAGGGCTACAAATGCTAAACAAAAGAGAAAGAGGCCGTACATATGTAGCCCAAGAGGGAGCTTTGGGGGTGGAAGAAGGCTTGGATCGCGTACGAAGCATCAATGAATGGGAAAGAGGGGTGGTTGAGGCTGCTGAGTCCCAACCACGAAGACGTGCAGCACCACAGTGTAGTGTATGTGGGATTATTGGGCATACTGCCCGTACATGCTCTAAACGTACAGGAAATAATTGATAATATCAGTTTGTTAATTTTGGGTTGTATTCAGGACTTGAAGAGCATTCTTGTTGTATGGCAGGTGGGAAGTGGCTCGCTTGCTTATGTGGCTCGCTCGCTTATCGATTACGTTATGCAGTCAGTGATTATGTAATAGACGCAACAAAGATATCTATATTAGAAAATAGATACGTGGTGATAGATACGTGGCGATAGAAAGGCACAGAACAATCAATTGTGATGAATGTAGTGTGATGGCAATATTATCTATATAATGCTCACTGATATCCATGGATTTTAGAAGATCAGTAGATTAACTTGAACAATAGAAAATGCTATCTTTTTAATATCTTTTATGCATACTTCACATTACTTTTGTAATTACTTTTATAGCTCATCTCTTACAATTCTAATCACTCTAAATCTTATTTGAGTGATCTGTTGTTACACACACCTACAACAAAACACGCAACATTAATTAAAATATATAAAATGATTTCAATATATACAAGATCTTTTGAAAATCAATCTGAATCTTCTACCATCTCTGATAATCACAATGCCTGATTGCAACAGTTAAACAATCAAATTTATAAACAAGAGCAACAGCTAGCTATTCTGCATGCACAACAATATTTCAATAAGTTGAAAATATAGATTCATAAAGATACTTTTATTGAGTTTCAATTAATTTAGAATATCACTACAGAATCACTGCAAAATTGATCTGCAGATAATATGACTGATGATAGTGAAACATCACTAAGATTGAAGATTAAGAATTACTATTGATAAAAAAATATATTAGAATTTAAAAATTATAAAAATCACATCTTGACTTTCTTTAAATATCATCATTGATATTATCAAAAAAAAAGAACACAAGATAAACGACATCAAACTCTATCTTGATATTCATATTAAGCAGAAGTGGTTGAATTTTGTATCAATATATAAGAAACATGAAGAAGCAACATCACTAACATTCAACAATATATTATAACATTTAAAGATGTAAATTAATGATCCACAGAATCAGCATCGATTAACAAGTTAAAGATTTTAAAATGTTAAACAACAGAAATGGCAATTGATACATAACTTTTCTAAATATTTTAAAAATTAAAAGTATTATTTATCTTCATACAATGAAGAATAGAGAATGAATAATCTGTGTAGTAAAGCATTGAAAATGCTACACACTGAATTCAACTGTTGAAATCAAGAATTTCAGAACTATAAAGAGTTGCTTTAAACTTTACAAACCTTCAAGAAAAATATATTTGTGAGGGGTGATGACAGTGTGAAGAGTGAATAGTAGAAGATAGTATATAGTGTAGTGGAAAATAGTAATAATAATTATAGTAGTAATGTAGTTGAAGTTGTAGTTAATCGCTATAGAGGAAAAGAAAGAGAAAGAAGATGTATGAAATACATATATCTATATATATATACATATAGAAATAGTGGTAGTGAGAGTATAATAGAAAGAGGTAAAAATAGATGAAGATATAAACAAAGATAATATAATAATAAGAAAATAATAAATGAGTGTATTACAATTGCCTCTCTTTTTTATAAAAGCTGCCCTCAGCAATTGTATAGATTGTTTGTTAGTAGATATTTGCATTTCCATATTGTAAGTGCTGCTTGTTGATAGCAGTGTATTAATCGCGTCCTCCTAATAACTTGTATACACATTGTATTGATTTTTCAATGAGATAGAATTGATGGATTCTTTGATTGCTAGAGGGTTATGTATAGAGAAATAAAAAGAATTCCTTTTTTTTTTAAAAAATTTCTCTTATTTTTTAATTTGATCATCATTAAAACTCTTTGCTCTTCTGCTGTGATTTTTCATTTTTAATTCAATAAAATTTTTGTTCTTCCTTTCTTTCTCTTTTATTGAAATGAACTCTTTTAAATGTTTTAATTTTAAATAAATTGTTCTTCAAATGCTTATCACATATTATTGTTGATGTTTTCTGTTAATGATGTTATTAATGTGATCACATATTTTACTAACTTGTTTCAGTATAGCATCATTCACTGTTCATTTGTTATGTTGCTCTAACTTTAACTCTAATCATATGATGTACAACAATCAGATTCCATGTGAATGTTGTGTTCTTAGATTTGAAACTGTTGATTTTTGATGTGTGTTGAAACTTAATACTTAGAAGCATTGTGAGATTTATGTCTCTGCAGAAAAATTCTGCAAATTTGTGAATATCTTTTTTTAATTTCTATTTTCTTTTTCTCTTTCTTCAAATTCGTTTTTTGAATAGATAGTAATGCTCTTAGCAATGTTGATATATTGATAATGATATTAGATGTGTGATACACCTCCTTTGAGATACATTATGCATGGGTGAGTATTTATTTTCATAGAGGTGGTGGCTGGGAAGGATATGGCCATTCATAAAAGTCGTCTTTATTATTTGATAAAATGATTGAATGCATCTTGTCTGATGATGCTGTTGTAATAGGCGCAACGGAGATATCTATATTAGGAAATAGATACGTGGCGATGGCAATATTATCTATATAATGCTCGCTGATATCCGTGGATTTTAGGAGATCAGCGATTAGCTTTGAACAATAGAGATTGCTACCTTCTTAATATCCTTTAGTGCGTACATCACACTACTCTTGTAATTACTCTTGTAGCCCATCTCTTATAGCTGTCTGCTCAGAGCAGAGCTGAGGTGAATGCTTTGTGATTTCAGTACTGAATGGTAGCTAAATCTGTAAAATTGCAGGTTTTGAAGACAGTGGTTGTATCTGATCCTTTCAGAGCAGAGGTGCTAAAGAAAGAGAAGGGTGTGAAGAAGAATGTGAGGGTTTTGAAGTTGTTGAACTTGATGAGCTCTGTAACAGAGGGGTCGATTGAGAAGGAGTTGGCTGGAGAGAAGTTGACAGAAAAGAAGCTGGCTAGAGAGTCAATGAAGAAGGTTGTGAAGGCGCTGATGACCACAGTACCATTGATGTCTGTGGAGTAGAGGAAGTGAGTTCCTCAGATGATGAAAAGGTGAGAGGAGAAGATGAGAGAAAATATTTTTATCAATCAAATGTGCTGAAAAATGAGTAAGTTGATGAGAGAGAGAAGAAGTGAGGAGATAAATGTTCTGTGAAATAGATATTTACTTATATCTCTGCACTCAAAATGAGTGCCGGTAATTTACAAACACTGAAAGGAGTATTGAGTAAGAGTAGTGGAGGGGGGGGGATGAAAGGGATGGTGGGAGGGAGAAGAGGAAATGAAAGATGAGGAGTGAATGAATTGAAGCCCTTTAGACTTTCTTTAGAACCCATTTCCTTTTTTTTTTTTTTTTTTTTTTTTTTTTTTTTTTTGTAGTTATTATACCTCTATTGAATTTTTTCCTTTTCCTCTTTTCCTTGATAAAATCCTTTTAAAAAAAATGCATTTAATTGAAGTTTGAGTGAGATTTACATTTTTAATGTTTTTCAATTTGAAATTTGTATTTCTGATATCTTTCAATTTGATATTCACACTTTTGACATTTGAAAGTATGTTGACTTTGTATTTGTCATTCATTTTCTTGTTCAAGAAAGATTTCAAATGTCTGAGTGTTTAATATGTTTTCTTTCAATTTCCATGTATCATCACTAGATCCCCAACCTGTCCATCTCACAAGATATTTCAAAGGTTTGTTTTTTCATTGTCATTTTTCAAGAATTTCTTCAACTTGATATTCTTCTTCATTGTTGACAAATTTCAGTCCTGATTTTGATAAAGCTTTATTTCTGTGATTGTATGATTTCAATAAAGAAACATGAAATACAGAATGGATGTTTCTATATAAAGATGACAGTTTCAATTTGTACACTTATTTTCTGACGGTATTCAGAGCCCGCGTGGCGCAGTTGATAAGACTGTTACCCAAGGTAGCACTGTTAGATGTGCTGTAGGTTCGAATCCTGCCGCTGGCAAGGTCCCATTTTGGGCCACTTCTTACCCATGAAGGCCCCCGTGACCAGGGGCCAAGCTTAGTGAGGCAGTGCTGACAGGGATGCTGCTTGGCAGTGATGAGGGTGGTGGCCGCTGGAAGCCGCTCTCATTAGTGCCAAGCATCTCCCCTGTCATTAGTGCTAAGCTAAGCAAGATCCGATGATTACAGAGGGTCGAGTATCCCCTCGTTCGTAGGTTTGTGCAAAATTAGCGTGGTTTCATTAGTGTATATTATACGAGATCTCATTGAATAATCAGTGTATTTTTGAGTATTCATTGGTATTAGTGTAATATATAAACCCTAATTAAGGATCCGCGTAAATAGATATTAGGATATACTATGAAATTCCGCCCAACATTGAGTTTTCAAACATAAGGGGGTATTTTGACACTCTGAACAGCCAGAATTTGATCTCTCTATCTTTTTATATTTCTGCTGGCCAATCTTTCGTTTATATTGACACCAGGCACAAACATACTGCTTTGGAAGAGGAATCCATTGATGATTTAGATTAGAATTTGATCATTCCCTTGGTAGATTATCATGAATCCCAGATGTGAATTCAAAGAGTTCCTGGTAAAGCTTCTCATGAAAGCTTATATGAGAAGGAAGATCCTTCACTGGAATCCCCTGCTGCTTCATATATAAATATTGAAGCCGGTATGCATTAATAGCTGCGGAATCAATAAGCCAGTAGAGAATAGGAAGCCAGGTGTGATAGGTGACTCTATGACTAGTATATGCTGCCTGGTATTGATTTGCTAGGTCTACCTCATTCATATGATGATTATAATCATCTATAATCAATGGGATTTTCAGCTTCTTTTGTGGTTGATCTTCAAAGACTTTTCTAACAATATTGGCATTGGTTGAGAGTTCCCCTGGGCATTTATGAGTACATTCAATAACTGCGTTCAATGAATGAATCGTAGTTAGTGCCAATACCATATTATTATCTTGCCAAGCAAGACAGAGAACATTCTCTTTTTCAATGGCATGCAGGGTATTCCAGGGTATGGAATTTGAATGCTCTCAAAGCTCACCTAGTACTGCTGGAACCTGGTTTGGATGAGTGGTTCCACATGCTCCATACCTCTGTTGATGTAGTTCTTTGAATAAAGGAACTGATGTAAAGTAGTTATTCATATAAATTGAATAGAATATGACCAGCTGTGAGATAGAGATTTCATTAGGCGTGGCATTCGGTGTAGCATTCAGGGGGGTGATATTCGGGTTGATATTAGGGCCAATATTATGGGTGATATTAGGGTCGATATTAGGGTGGCATTCAGCATGGTATTCAGCGTATTCAGCGTGGATACCATAGGAAGCCGCTTCACCAGATTCACCACCATAGGTCCGGTTTTTGTTAACATAGAGAATTGAAACATAGGCATTATACCCTGCCGGCGGCTAGACCAGGAAAAAGACCATAAATAGCTATGTTCTGCTAGGCCAAATATCTTATATCCTCAAGGAATTGGTTTATTAGACATCTTGTATGTATGTTGACTTTGTCCAAAGCATTTAACCATAATCTCATCAATGGAAATCTTAGAGCCAGGGGTATAGTATTTTCAGCATGTCATATGAAACTTAGTAGCTAATAGCTCTACCTTATACCACCAATCCTTATTTTTGGCCTCCGGGCGGCGGGCCTCATGAGGGTTAGATATATGGATATATCGTTTAATCTGTTTGAAACGCGTATGGGTCATATAGGATTGAATGGAATGAATAGAGCCTTGTTTCAGATCATTCCATTAGTATAGATCAGTTTGATGGGATTTATGAACTTCCATATAGAGAAGAATGCCTATAAAGACCTTTATCTCCACTGGATTGATATTTTTCCATGAACATTGCTGAATAGAAGGCTTTGAGAATATAGATATTTCAGAAATCTCTATATCTATATCTTGAGCTTTCTCATTCTCCTCCATTTCTGAAAGCTCTGGAGCTTCATCATCAGTATCTCTAGTATCTCTCTTTAATTTTACATAGAGATTAGTAGAATTACTGATATTTTGAAAGCATTCCTCAAAGAAGAATAAGGTAAACAGGGTGTATGGACTGCTAATATTGATATTTGCAGAAATATTGAGAATTGGATCTCATGAGGTAGGCAGTATTGGGTGGAATTTCACTGATTCTAGAGGTGGAAGTTCTGCAATAACCTCCTCAACAGGCCGTTTTCATTTTCTTAATGTTTTTATATAAACTAGAGAATAAATTAGTTAGCTAGGTCATTTGAATTGATTAATATAAGGAACTCACCATTGGATTTAGTAGGTTTCTCAGTGGATTCCACGTTCGCAGGTTTGGGGGGTTCCATATTCGCGGGTAGAGGGATAGGTGGGTGAATATATGAGAATCATGCAGGCAGGCAGACAGGCAGGGCTTCAAACGCGTTGAATTCCATACACATTCTTAAGATTTACATGGGATCTTCAATCAGTGGATCTAAATGACCAATTATTATTCATATAAAATTATATAGGATTCTATTGGTTATGCCCAGGGCGCCGGTGCAGAATTCCATACACTAATTGAAACCACGCTAATTTTGCACAAACCTACGGACGAGGGGATAGGGCGCTTATACATGCTAGCACCTGCCAAGGCCCCCGGCATTTAGGGGGCCACCCCAACAACAGGGAATGATTTTAAAAACCATCCGATTGGTTGCCTCATCAGAGAGGTAGTAGCAAACCAAACAGGACACCCTGGTAGGCGCCCTATCTTCAAGGCCTACTAGTGGTCATCTAACACTATTAGTGGGTAAAACATTGGGTGGGGTAAGCCTATGGTTAGTCCCTTACACGGGGCAAGGCCACCACGGCTGGTTGGTAGGCCAAGGGGGCAATGGGCTGAGATCGGCAACTGGAAGCCCTAGGCTATGGTGATGCCTAGAGTGGGCGGTGGCGCTTAACTAGGACCCCCAGCTGGAAGAGCCAGAACTAGTTAAAGCGGCCTGAGAGGACGACGCGGTGGTCGGTTGGTTATAAAGAAACCTTTAGTGTCAATGGATGAAACCAAATCTTCCGGTCGCAGCGGGTTTGAAGATGCCATTGGTGCATTCTGTTGCAATGTCTTTAATTGAATCAACAAGCATTGTTTTTGGGCTGGTTGAGTTGATGACGTCGGGTGGGCGAGCATTTATTATCAAACTCCCTTGGCGCCTCGTGAAGAGGAGCAAGTGGTGCAATAATTTCGCGGAAACATAATGTCGAAGCTGGAAATGCGTCCACATCAATTGCACGCTCCACTCATTGTAACAATCAGAAATATATTTCGCCACGTACCTACACAACGAGGTCCCATATGATGATCTACAAGAAAATCGAGCCCTCCAGCCAACATACCTCACTCCTCTATGAACACACCAGTCAATCCCTAAAAGTGATTGGTCAGCCTCAAATGGGCGGTTCCTACCAACCTGAAGGACTGGGTAGTTCGTCTTGGGTCGCGTCTTCTGACGTGTGACGGGCAAACGTTGATCCGTTCGCCATTATTTCGCTTCTCCCCACCACTACAGCATTATCGCCTATCTCTATGCCACTAAATTCCTCGTATTTCGCTTTTTGATATAACTCTTTATCCCTCTCTAATGGCCGATAACAGTTCACCAGATTACGAGGCTCTCTACCGTAAAACGGAAGCGGAACGAAGGCAGGCAGAAGAGTTGAGAAGGCAGGCAGAAGAGCGAGAGAGACACGAAGGAGAGTTGCGAAGGCAGGCAGAAGAGTTGAGAAGGCAGGCAGAAGAGCGAGAGAGACACGAAGGAGAGTTGCGAAGGCAGGCAGAAGAGCGAGAGAGACACGAAGGAGAGTTGCGAAGGCAGGCAGAAGAGCGGGAAGCACAGGAGAGAGTGCGCAGCCAGCCGACAACACTAGAAGAGCTCATCAAAGGTTGTCATGATTCATTCTCCCGGCCTTTGCAGGTTGGAACGCCAACCCGCTCCACGAAGGGGAGTATTCCACCACCCACTGGGAAATACTGCCCAACGAGCCTTCGCTTTTGGTCAAGTTGTCCGGTTCAACTACTAGAACTTTATGATGCGGTTTCCACTTACCTCCAACCAGCCGGAAAAGATGCACCTCGGCTATTCACATCTCTTCTTGAGCTAGAGGGACTTGGTCGGCGGTATTCTAGTCGAAAACTACGAAGTGAAAAGGATCTGGAGAACTACGAACGAGCTACAGTGGAAGACCATGTCCAAGATATCATAACCGAGCTATGCAAAATACCTGATGCCCGATTGAGATTCCGGCTTGGAGATGGGATCCTGTTTGAAAATCATGAAAATCTTCTGCAGACATCAGAAGAGTCAGATGTACAGCTGTTCGATGAATCCAGCACAAAACATCCCAAACCAGATTCATTCTGTATTCATCGGATCAACGGTTCCACCAATACATTGATTACGACAGTCGAGTATAAGCCGCCACACAAGCTCTCGGTTGAAAATCTCCGAGCGGGTCTTCGATCGATGAAGCTCTGGGAAGAGATTGTTCAGTCAGACACAATCCCCAAGAGTGATGAGCTGAACAAGGATGAAAAGCTGAGATATAATGCGGAACAGCTGACTTGCTCAGTTTTGGTTCAGGAGTATCATGTCATGATCCAAGCTGGACTGGAGTACTCCTACATAACTAATGGATTTGCTATCGTTCTTCTTCGTGTTCCATATAGCGACCCTAGTACACTCTATTATTATCTCTGTGAGCCAAACATGGATGTGATTTCAGAAAATCCTGGGGTCTTTTATCAGTCAAAGACAGCTATTGCCAGAATATTATGTCTCTGTCTGATATCCTTTCTCTCGGATATCCGTGACCAGAAGTGGCGGAATGCTGCAAGATCCCAGCTCCATATATGGAAGACAAGTTTTGACTTTACACGGTCGCAAATCCCCGATGACGAGCTGCAACAAACTCCTCCAGGATCGGAATATGCAAGCTCGGAATATATGCCCTCTGAACATCTGCCATCGTCTCCATTACAGCCCGGCCATCGAGTTTGTACCCGATCTCAAACCACCTGTGCACCAATGGATACCTCGCCTTTGAGTGATCATATGGATTCTTCCGACTCCGACTCTAACCAAACAGCGCACGGC